ATAGAAGTCAATACATAAAAAAATGTTTAATTAATAAATTAATTATAAACAATAATTTGTATAGAATCTTAAAAGGTGGAATATAAACTTTTGGTCATTTTATTTTCTAATAATATAATTTGAAGAATTTTTCTTTAATAATTTTAATTATAATATAAAATTAAATCAATAAAATAATTTATATTTAGTTAAAAAATTCAACATATATAACAAAATGTCAGCTCTAAACAAATATTTAATAAACAAACAAAATATTAAAAAAATAAAATAAAGGACCCATATTAGGTTGAAATAATTTAAAAATAAAAATATTAAAATACCTATTTACTTTTTTATTAATATATAATTTTTTCCTTTACTTTTAATTTATTTATTTACAAAATATATCATTAACAATTAATTATAAATAGTACATTTTATTATTAGTAATTAGCTGTAAATAATAATAAATATATATAAAAATTAATCTTAATTATTTTTAAAATTAATTATACTTAAAATATTTTACGTGAAATTATATAAAATTTAAGTTACTTTATAATTAAAAAAAATTTTACGTGCATTGCACGACCACTAGTCATTTTAAAAGGTAGGATTGATCAACCAATTAAGAAAAATTGAAGAAAAACTGATTTGCATTAATTGGAGAGGTAGGGATATTTACCCCCTCACAACACTGGTAAGCGATTTTATCAAATATTTTATCTTTTATCATCCAATTTCTTAAATAATAAAAATCGAAAAAATTAATTTTGTAAGAAATAAAATATGAATTTACAATTATGAGTGGCATAGATATAATTGAAAAAATATAGAAATTTATTTTGAAGGACTATTAATAAATTTTCCCATCTCAAAAATATTAGAATATTGAATTCCATCTCAATTCAGGATGTTTGTGATAAATTTCTCGTATTCAAGGAAATAAATTTCCAAAACTACTCAATCTCCCTCTTTTGATAATTTATCAAGATTGGTTGAAATTTAGTTTTAACTTTTTCACGAAAAATTTTCAGAATGATTAAAATTAATTTATATTAGAAAATTAAATCAAGTAAGTTAAATAAATAATAATAATAATAATAATCATCATCATCGCAGTAGTTCATTAAAAAAAAACCATTACATCTTCTATACAATAATACAAAATTGATTTTAATTTATCCTATTAAATATTTTACAACATGGGATGAAGGGTCAAAACGAGCCTAGCTGTTGACATCTTGGTATATATCTTAAATCAGGAGTAGGAGCCGTGAGTTCGATCTCCATTCTCACTTATTAAAAAAGAAAAAAAAATCAGGATGAGTGGTTAAAAAAGAGAGGGAGAAATTTCAAACCTTCCACTGGACTTTGAAATTCAATGAGATCTGTAGATCAAATATTGCCAAGTTTTGGTAAAAGAGAGGAAAAGTGACCCTGCACCAGAGGATGCCTTTTTTGAAGATAATAAAAATAAGTTTTGAAAAGATATGGTAAATCTATCGTCTTTTTTCTTGTGTGTTTTCGTGGAGTAAAAAGACAACGTGAAAGAGGAAGAAAAAGGAAAACAGAGAGCGGTTTATAATGGATTCGGAACTATATCCTCAAAATATGTGTGGATCGAATAATATGGCTGAACTATTCGAAATTGGTTATGTGAGGGAAGGACATGCATTAAGGAACCGAATACTCTAGCACTCAAATCTAAGAGTCCGACTAAATTCTCAAGGCAAGTAATCAAATTGCTTACCTAATTAAATACGGAATGATGCTCTTATAGAGTGAGATGAGAAGTAATGAGTTAAACCGTTTCTAGAATTTGTTACGATGTTACAGACGATTTTGCACCTTACTCTTGAGTTTGTAAGGAATGTAAACAAAGTCGCACATTAGTTAGGGAAGAGGGTGATCCATGTATATAAGGAAAGATAATTATCTCCATTAGTATGAGGTTTTTTGGATGGTGAAACCAAAAACAAAACCGTGAGAGCTATATAAAAAGCAGACAATATCAGACAATATATATGTATGATGACAATAAGGAAAAGTAAGTGGTCTTAGCCTAAATTATTATTATCATTATTATAATTAGTCATCGAGGGTAGATTAACGTCTTTTCTTATTATCGAGGGTTTAGGTTATATAAATATTATTGTGTATTTTATTATTCTTCTTTTAAGTTAATAAATAAATCCCTAATTTTCTCTCAAATTTTTCATGTTATCAAAGTCTCAATGGGAATAATTTCTTTGCTTCATTGAAGAACTGTTAATTGTATCCACAGCTTTCCTAGATCGATTATAACAGAGCCCATGTGCTTATATTTATGTTATTTTTACAAAATATTTTATCATTTAACATATTCGCAATTATTTAGGTTTAATATGCAATTTGAAAAAATTAGACACTAAAACATATATTTTGCCAAACTTTGAGATCATTGACTCGTTACAAGATTCATACCACTTATCATCATCTTAATCATCACATAGGATAAAAAAGAGTGAATTCGAGTCTCTATCTTTACTGCATTAGAAAAAATCATCACATAACTTGGGCTTTATCGTACACAATCAACATTGGCATTAAAAGTGAAAAAAAAGGGAGAAGAAAACACATTTGTCGATACAAACAAGTGCGCCTGCAAATTGGAATCAACTCAAAACAATAAACAAAACTCTCCTCAGATTAACGTTTTCCAAAATTTGTTTGTCCTAATTTTCCCATTTGCTTTGTATTATAGACCAATGAAGCCCCAAATTCTGGCTCATGGCCATGGGGAGCTGCAGAAAAAAACCATCTTCAAGAGGCCACCATCGCTATGTAGGAGTTCGCCAGAGGCCCTCCGGCAGATGGGTCTCTGAGATCAAAGACTCCCTGCAGAAGGTCAGGCTCTGGCTCGGGACTTTCGACACGGCCGAGGAGGCTGCTCGGGCTTATGACGATGCGGCACGGGCGCTGCGCGGTTCCAATGCCCGCACCAACTTTGACTACTTGCCAGCTCCCACTTCGACTGCAGGCAAAAGTTAGTTTAACTATATGAAAATGTTAGACATTTCACTTTTATAGAAATATGTTGAGATTTCAATTTTATAGAAATATTGATAGAGGTTTACGAATAACTATGTTACGATTTAAAATTTATTAGTATTAATGTTTATAGGGATTTTTTTTTTCCTAATTTTACCTTCATTTAGTTTTATTTTAACTTAAATTTTTAGTTTTATCAAATTGAACAAAATAGAGTTGGTCATACCCTAAATTAAGAAATATTTTAAATTTTATTAAAATTAATGTTTATAGAGCAAGATTCCTTAACTACATACTATAATGAAAACATCAACCTATCTACATGATTATTTGATTCTTTAGTTGGAGGTGATGCTTACACGGTTGCGGAGCCACCTTTTTCTTTCGAGGAAGGTAGCAGTGAAGAAGATGACGGGCTCCTAGGCGCCCTTAGAGCAAAGTTGCTCGACGGGAAGGGGCGGCGGGTGCTCGAGGCGATGGCAAAAACTTGTTGCTCAAGTTTGGATGTAAATACGAATCATCATGTAACTACTCCAAGCGTCCATCGACAACCACCAGCAAGTCGAGTTGATGCGGCCACACAATTGAATTTTGTCGATGATCAAATGGGTGACATCTTGGACGGAGGAAGCGGGTGGTTTAACGCTTCCACCGCGGTCGGAATATATGCGTGGCCGATGGTTTCCAGAGGATTAGAGGAGGGTATTGAGCATCATCTGTTATGTCCAAATGGTTAGATAAGAAGGGAGGGATCAATGTAAAATTTGGAGTAGAAACATGATTGCAGAAGTTCATCAATCATTTTTTTTTTATTAAACAGGAGTCGATGGTCCTTTATCCTTTTCTTATCCCTATACCTAGAGGCACACTGTTCCCATATCAATCATTCATTTTCACTTAAATTTGGATTCAAAATAAATTATTAGTTATTAGTTCTTGTCATGTTACTAGCACAAATAAAAGTTACTAGATCGTTCATCAATTTGAAGAGAAAAATTAACAAATCACGTCAAACTTTTAATTTAGTTCCTATATCTTGATGGTTATATCTATTAAATCAATAAAATTATATTTAAAAAAAATTATATTTTTTAGCCACTTTAATTGTGTATTTTTTTCTTTTTCGTGGATAGACTTTAGATATGTTTTTAGAGGGTCAATTGTGATATTTATATAATTAACTACTCATCACACTATTATCATTTCCAATTTATTTACAACTAAAGCAATAATTGATTTATGGTTGAAATTAAGGTTAATTTTGTCACAACGTGATTCTTTTTTGACTGCTACATGGAGACGAATGATTGAATTCAAACCTCTAAAAAATAGCAAGATACCAACTTTTGACCCTTGCCCCCAGCCTAAATCTTAGGCGTTTTCATATCATATGGGCTAAATAGAAAAAAAAGTAGACTTTATAGAAAAAAGTAAACTTTATAGATGTCCGCTTAGTGAGAGAGTTGGATAGGTACACTATCAATTATATAGAAATGGAGCAAATAGAACCTCTTTTGATCTTGGCAGAACAAATCATATTTAAGACAGTGGAGTCCCTTTACTAATATCCTAATATATATATATATATATATTTTTTTTTTTTTAGGGTTTTCTAATAGTTGGATCTCAATTATAGGCTGATTTTTGGCCGTTATGTTTGCAATATCTTATTTCAAATTTATATGATTTTTTTTTATCTAAAAGATTTTATTCCATTATTACTTTATTATTTTGGATCATGGGCCATTTAAGTCGATTGGGCCTCTAGTCTTATGGAATTTAAGTGGTGACTGCAATCTAAGCATTTGGGAGGAATTTCCCTTCGTGGCTATCTTCTTTAATTTCTTTAAATTCTACTGTCTCTTGTGGTTAGTTTCTATTTGTTTCCTTTTTCTCAATAATAAATAATAATAATAATAATAATTTTTATACATTGCAATCATAGTCATACAATTTTCCTATAATACTCAGATTTATATTAAAGATGTCATGTTCTCTTGTTTTCCATCCCGATGGAGTCTAGTTCTAGGTATGTGGTTAGATATATGAGTAAGATAGTTTCTTAAGCATTTTGTTCTTGATTGTTGATCCTACCAATTTGCCCGTATATTCGCCTTTGTATTTCAACTTTAAATTAAAGCATATAATTTTAAAGTTATACTGCATTCGATTTATTAAATATGTGCGATCTATCACTGAAGTTTAGTGACAAATCCCAAGGCCTCATCATAGATGATACCACAAAGTTGAAGATTCTTATCACCGCACCTTACTCAGGAGACTATCATTATACCAATTAAATGGGCGTATTCATCATATTTCACCTTTAGATTAAAGTTTATAATTTTAAAGTTATTGGATGTACTCTAAAGCTTAAAGTTTTTTGTTTTTCTTGTTTTTCCCGACTTCTATCTCAACTAGGGTTGTGTAATAGCTCCAAGGATTTCCATTGTTTGGTAAAAATATTTTCATTTGCTTGAAACCATTAAAATCCATAGAAAGCATAATACATGCATAATATATTTATAGGACAAGTTGGGCGACCCATTATTATATATTTTATTATTTTTTTAATAATTAGTAAAGAAATGTGATTCTTTATGTGACTAAACAGTAAAAATTTATATTATTTGGACCAAGTGAAGTGAACAATAATATGGATAAAAACACTGATGAAGGACACAAAATAAGTGGGCAGAAAAAATTAAATTCTTCTCTTTTCCCCCAACTACCTATGGTTTTGTTCATTGTGGGGACAATAATATTTTCTCCAACCTTGTGATCCACCCACCAATTTTTAACTCTCTAATTTTTCACATTTTTTATTTAAAGCACGCAGTTGAGCTATATTCAAATTAACATTTAGAGGTTGATATATATATAATATATTAAAAGTAGGTTCGAATCTAATTTCGAATTGTCTATTTTAATGCTTAAATTTTTCGAGAAAATAATCAATTTTTGGCAGTTGTTGTAATAATGTTAACATAAGAATGTTTTGAGCAAAAATTGAGTCATATATTTGAAATTCACCTATAATATCGGCACTGCCAAACACCCATTTTAACCAGGCTTTAATAATGTCCACCTTAGTACACTATATGCCTATATTCTAAGTCATGCCATTTATCGGTTAAATAATCAATAATATAAAAAAGGCAATAACCAAAATATTTATTTTTTTAATTTCCCAAACTAAAATAAATATTTTAAAAATTTAGAGTTAAAATAGAATAAATGTTAAAGTTTAGAGATAAAAATGAGATTTTAATCTCAAAAGTATCATAAAAGTGTAAGGATCACCCAAACAAAACAAAAATAGTCGATTTGGTTATAATTTCACTAGTTAAGACATTAGTATGATCCTTCAAACAGGCTCGACTCTTTTCTCTATCTCTTGGCCTCTACTCCATTTTATCGTGTATAAGCAACACTATCTCTCGTGCTGTTGACTCGAGATTTGTAAATTTAAGTACGAGATTTGTAAATTTGAGTTGTTGCTCTTTTTTTTCTTAAACAAATAAAATAAATATATAGAGACCAGAAACACCAAAAATCATGAAATAGAGTAGCATTCTAGAGTGGAAATACCAACCACTTTGATAGGTATAATTATGAACTCCAGAGATATTACTCAAGGTGAATATAGAGATATTATTCAAGGTGAATATAGTATTGTTAATTAAGATTATTACAATTTGTCGGAAAAAAAAGTTGAGATTATTATATAGGTAATTAAATGAAGCTAATTTTTCCGAGATAGTTGGGGCGGCTTGGGACATTAAAGAATATCTTTGTGGTTCGATAATTATTTCATTCTTAATTTTTAATTTTAAAATTTTTTCTTCTTGTGCTCAACATTTTTTCTTCTGATAAATTTTTCACTAACAATTTTTTTTGCGCCTAAACTTCTATCTATAACAAATTTATCTTTCTTTCTCTACAATTTTCATATCGGGAATATTCACTATTATTTCTCCGGTCTCTTCAAAATTTTCATCACATATTAAATATTCCTTTTATAACAAATAATGCATTTCCCACCATGTCCTGAACCTGCCCCTATTCTATTTTTTAAATAATTATTTTACTAAATTATGACTAAAATATTAAACATTTTCTAAAACTAAGTATTTGTACTAGTAAATAATTATTTTTTCAATAAAATAGATATAAATTATATATCTTTATTGCTATTTTTTATTTTTTAAATTCTTAATAAATCAAAATTAATTACTAAACCGATAATTGTTTTGACGAATATCTTCATCCCCAAATGAAGACATCTCAACCTGGACCTCAATTATTGAAGGCGGATAACCTAGCAGAGATGAGATTAAAATTTTATGTGAGTACAAAGATGAGGGAGGGCATCCCTCAAATCTCTACTTTACATAGATTTTCTCTTTCTCTAATATATCACTTCAACTTTTATATTTTTGGTCTTATGGTATTTTAAGAAGTTATATATATATATATATATATATATATATATATATATATATATATATATATATATATAAAGTTATATTATTATAAAAAAAAGCTTTTTAAAGACAGAAACAAAAAATGGTTCAAACGTGCTTTGGTTTATATTTCTAAATAAAAGACCAAAAACATTTACCAAGCATATATAGTTTTTGTTTTTAGAAAATAGAAAACTAAAAACAAAAAACTAATAGAAATCATTAGCAACTGGGCCTTTAGTTTTTAAATTTTATCTCAAATTTTGAAAACATTTTTAAGAAATAGCAAAATGAAGAAATAAAAGAGAGAATGTAGTATTTACAGGTTTAATTTCGAAAACAGAAAATAAAAAACAAAATAGTTATCAAATATGGCTTTTAAAAATCATTATATTATTTGTTGTTTTATTTTTATTTTTTAAAATAAAATTATATATTAAACTACCATTCAATCTTACAAGTATGAAGTGTATATATATAAACACACATATCACTCTCTCACATATAAGCTTCACAAAGTCCAACAGAATTCTTAATATCAAAATAAGAAAAGAAATAACATTATCGAGATTGTAATGCTATATTAAAAAACCACGTAATTGAAAAGCTCTAGTTAATGAATTCTGTATAAATATTCTTACATTATTATATCAATACTAAATTCAAAATTTAAGTTGATAAATTAGAACATATTTCATTATAAATATAAAGACAAGAAAAAAAAGATAAAATATCGATCAAATAGATGCTGGGTGACAAAGACAATCTAATTATTAAAAAATACATTTGGATTTGGTAAAGATATTCATATTGACAACTTGGGTGAGAGGGAGAATCCCAATGAACTCTCTGATTTGTTTTTCATCATCAATCAATGTGCACTCACAGATATGGCAATTAAAAAGGAGGCTCAAAAGTTAATATATTTAGTGGATATTATAAAATATTCGTTTAGGATATTTAGAGCCATATTACCCATTTTCTATTTTAATATTTTTATTAAAAAAAATTCATAAAAATTTTGAATTACTTAAAATGCGTTTGATTAGTGATTTAAAAACAAAATGAAAAAAATGGTATATTCTTTGTTTTTAGTGTATTCAATTGGATAGCATTTAATCCCAATCTAAAAAACTTGTTCAACCGTCTCTAATAATTTATTTGTAAATTAGTTGGAGTTACTAACTAAATATTGAGTTCAATTTAAAATAATATTAATTAATTTATTAATATTTTTGTTATAAATTTTGTAGAACTATTATTTTACAATATTGTATAATTTATAATATATTATATTGTACGTGTAATTTT